TTTAGTACTCAATTTGCACACATACACAGGTGACGACTCCTCTGGTTTAAGTCTTGTCTGAGTTTGATTTGGATAGGCGAGAGCTTTAATGAGATAGGGTAATGAAGACGGCATAGCAAATGATCGCAACTCTATTTCTGTGGGGTTTATTCTATAATGCTGTAACAGCGTTTTGATATTATACCACCGTAGTTCTATTGGAATTGACAAGTTTAGGTTTTGCTATTGACCTATTCTGCCCAATAGGTGATTTTCTCTTCACAGTAAGATCTCGTCTATTGTTTGAAAGGTCCGCACCGAACATCTTCTGCCATCCGCAAAAATTAAAGGATTGGATTTTGAATTTTTTTTAATAGCTCAATGTCAAAGTGCTGAACTATGTAAGAAAAAAATTGAGTTGAGATACAGTTTTTAAAAATTGACTATCATCAAATGTGTATAAAACCATTAATAAGAGTAGAAATACCCAAAAAATGTTTTTATGTCTGTATGATGGTATAGTTTATGTTTTTACGTTTGATTTCATGCATAACACATGATCTCACAGTGAATGCGGTTCCTACGCACTCTGATAATTGTTCATGTTCAAATAATTTTTCAGAGCCTTCAACTGCCATCATGTTGTTAGATTGCTTGGAGTCGTTTCTAAAGGTCAACCAACATTAGTTGTCATGGAACTCATGGCTCGGGGAGATTTGAAAAACTGGTTGAGGTCGCATCGAGCGGATGAGCCGGTGAGTTCACAGACAATAATAAGATACAACCAAATCTGTCAACACCAAGTAACTGTCCTTGACCCCTTTTTAATACCTTCTCCAAAAAAATCCAGTATAGTCAGTTGAGACATCAATTCAGTTTGTTTTAATTATTAACACACAAAATTACAGTGTATACAAAGTTCACAAAAATGATTGCCAGCAAACATTTCTGAGCTTACCCTGATGTCCGGAGTCGTATCACATTATTGTGTGTTTTATTTATCGATACAAGTGTTTCAGTCTTCTTTTTTTGTGTTAAATTGATTTATATTTTGTAATTTTTTTTTAAGAGCAACGAGGATAAATTGGCTCCAACTGTAGGGCAGATTTTACACATGGCAGCAGAGATCGCTGACGGCATGGCTTACCTAGCGGCGCAAAAGTTTGTCCACAGAGACTTAGCAGCTCGTAACTGCATGGTAGATGATTCAGGAACAGTAAAAATAGGAGGTACTGAATTAATTTAGAGTATTTTTCCATTAACTTTTGAGTGTCAGATATTTTTCCCAATCAAAGTTTCAGTGCAAATACTTTCACATTTTGTAGAATTTTCACCAAATTTCATCATCATTTTGAACCATACAGACAGTACAAGATATTTCTTTTAGTTTTTGATCAAAAGATTTGTCAATTTTTAATAAAATTCCATGTTGATGGCATAAGTTGACAATGACACGCAAAGACTTAATGTTAAAATAAAGCTTTAACATACAGTGTACAACACATAATGGTTGGTCGTAACATTACAACATGTAATTATTTTTACATTTCTTCGGAGAAGTAAATAAAAAAAAAATTTATAAAGGGCACTTGACTGAAGATGTCTTGAATATCAAATTGAAGACTTGTTTTATTCTACCCATACAATGCAGGGACCTCTTGGTAAACTCTAAAATATATCACTATGACAACCGTGGTTCTATTTTACTACAGATTTTGGTATGACGAGGGATATTTATGAAACAGATTATTACCGAAAAGGCGGCAAGGGTTTACTACCGGTTAGATGGATGGGGCCAGAATCATTAAAAGATGGTATTTTTACCAGCCACTCAGATGTCTGGTAGGTGTAATGTTTTTTCCCCCTCTATTTGTATGGCTGTTTATGTTATAGTTGCAGTTGGAATTGGAATTGGAATTAGCTGTGTTTAAAAGCCACCGTAGGCTTCATAGTTGTTTTTTTTCTACAGCAGATTTTTTCATGTAACAAATATAACGAATAAATTGCATAAAGGTCCAGATTTTGTTAAAAAATGTATACAAATTAGCAAACAGACATAATACTAAGCTCAAATAAGTAATCAATCAAAGTTAACATGACCACACCTTCAATTAACATTTTTGAATCCTGTGTGTGAAGCCCACAATGTGAGTGTGTGTGTCTGTTCCACTGGTATCCCAAGAACCATCGATCAGATGTCAATGAAACTTGGTACATATATGCTGTGGGATAATGCACAGACGTGATTAGTTTTTGGTTGAAATCTGTGCATATTATTTTCCCATTTTCAAGCATTTTCACTTATTCCTCATATACCATTCAATAGATTTTAAAGCAACATAATAAATAATTATGTGCAATGAAGATGTGCTTCTAATATAGTAAATACAGTATTCCTTATTTGAGCTTCATGCCTCCAATACATTCAGCACATGGGATACTCTTTCTAAGCTTTCTTTGATTTTGTTTTTTCTTTATGATTATATCTTTGTCTATTTTCACTAAATGGGCATAATAATTCTATGCAGAATGTATTCTCAGATCAAGACACTAGATTACAACTTTCATAACATTGTAATGTTTTTAATAAACTATACAGTAAAAAGAGAGTACTCATGACTGTTGTATCTCTTGTCTGTGATTGAATTTTGAAATTGAACACCATCAACTGTACAAGTAAATGTGACATTTTATGTAAAATTTTAACATTCACGGACCAACAACTGCTCCAATTCAATTTGCCAGCTGATTCATTTCTTTCATTCAGGTCGTATGGCGTAGTTTTATGGGAAATGGCTACATTAGCCGAACAGCCGTACCAGGGGCTTTCAAATGAGCAGGTACTAAAATACGTTATAGATGGCAACTCTTTAGACAAACCAACTGGATGTCCAGATAGAATGTAAGTAGAAAAATAACCTTTTTCTGTTTAAAAATAGACTTTTCACCAAATCTTGAGTCTCAAATTGGCACAGAATCTTAAGATAGTGTAATTATTTTGAGGTTTTTATTTCAATGCATGCGCTATAATATTGTGACAAATCATCAGCTTGTACTTGCGATGTAGTGCAGTTTGTTGCTCATTAAGTGAAGGTTATGAATTATAATCATCTACTATATTTGAAAATACACCCAGCACGCGTCACATAGTATATGCGCGGGATATAGTGGTTACTAGTGTCCTTCTGTATGTCAGAATGTTTGTACGTAATCATATCTGGAGCACTATTGCAGATAGATGTTCTACCAGTGCTTTATTGAAGACATTGGGGTCATAATCTGATCATAGTTAGTGACCGTACATGCTCATGTATGCTCATGTGACCTCATAAACAATGCTTAACTATCATATCTAGAGCACTATTGCATAAACCAGTGCTTGTTATAAAAATGCCGGGATCTGCCATCTCTGATGGCTTTCTTGTTTTTACTAGTAAAAGCTCAGTGCACTATGGGTATGTCATATTGAATGGAAAAATTACAGCGTTTTGTCATTTTCAGACCATTCTCCAGTGATATTGTTGGCTAAATAGAAGTTTTATACGTCACTTAAAACAAAAACGTGCTTCTTAGACAGTTTACGTGTGTATTGCTGTTGACATGTCTCCTAGGTTCAAGTGAAAACTGTATTTTACTTATCAGATTGAATTTCCTTCTTCTCAGGTTTGAATTGATGGCACTTTGTTGGCAATATAATCCCAAAATGCGACCAACTTTTATAGAGCTGATTGAAAATCTTGAAAGCCATGGGAATATTGAGCCAAGTTTTACTGAGGTGTCGTTTTACCACAGTGTGGAGAGACATCATACAGAAGATACCAAGATGGAGGAAGCCATTCCTCTGATGGACGATTTTGATCACCGAAATGAAAGCGAACAACCAAATATGAACCCTTCTAGCCCAGTGAGGGATGGGCCACAAACATCTCCCTTGTCTAGTGTTCTTGTCTCGCACATGCCCAAAAATGGAGTTCTAAATGGATCCGCAATCAAGGTTCCCAAGTGTACAACCTGCTGACCGATGTAAAACAATCCCACCCACCATCACTATGGTAACAACACACCTGGAATATTATATATTTGTAAATTAATTTGTAAGCAAACTAAGAAAATTAACAAAAAACAACAACGACACATTTGTCATGAAATTGTGTTCGATAAAAAAGCAACAACAACTTTTAATATGGTAGTCATACTACTTGTTATTTATATTGACTTTTGAATATTACTTTATGTGAAAAAAACATGCACATTATTTTTGTTGTTAAAAATGACATCTGAATGTCAAGAGAGTTCATGTCACTTAGGTTGACCCGTTTTTCAGTGTCACATTTGAGCAATAATTTATTTTACTCTCGACAAGAGTCAGATAAGCGTCTACTGCAAATCTTGGCTCGGACTCCCTGTACATGTAAATATTTTCCCTTATGTTGTTTGTATATATATATATGGCTATCTTTTAAAGCACAACAGAGGTGCTGGTCAGGATTTTTTATTACTATTATAATTCTGTTTAGTTATTTTTTACAAATTGTGTGGAGCTAGGGTGCCTTTTTTATGAATGTTTCTAAAGGCTGCCATATTGTTCCCACATAAGTGTGTGCAATATCAATAATGAGCTGCCTTTCGTTTTATTTCTTTGTTTCTTTGTTTGTTTCTTTATTTGAATTACACACAGACCCTTAGAAGAAGTTTGATCCTGTAATTTTGTTTGGTTTCAAACAAGTTTTTTTTTTAAAAATGTTAATGGATCAGTGATAGTAAAGTATTGCAGTGTGCAGAAATTGGCATGTCGTGTGATTCCACCAGAATTTAATTTCTCCTGTGTACCAATAATTGTTGCTGATGTATTCAACTTAATTCTGGTCCCAAAGAAGTTTTGTTTCTCGTCCAATGCGGTTTCAATTTTTTTTTTTTTGTATAAAGATTATTTTAATACCGCAACGAGATATTTAACATTTATTATATAGTGCTTTTAAAGACTCATTTGAATCAACAAAATTCTCATCTGAAACAGAAAGACGCGTCTAGGAATATGCAGTGAATATTTCCCTATTTTACTGGTACGTGAAATTGCATACAAAATGTGTAATGTACAAATCTCAACCTGACATGCAGGACTATAAGAAGCAAAATCCTTTGGGGGCGAGAGCCTTATCTTAATTACCTCTTTTATGATAATTGTATGTTTAGAGTTGAAAGATTACGATACCTCTTTGAGCATTTAATATCAACTTTTAATTATTACTTTTCTAACGATTTTGATCAAGACCTGATCAGATATCTCTATTTGATCCAAAATTAGGTATGAATGACAACAAGTTGGCAGATCAAATTACGTTTTTTTGCAGTTACGTCATGGTGATAGCTTTATTCAAAATGTTCAGGGACAGATGTTAACAGTTTGTTGTGATGTGGACCCTATGTATAAACAAAAACTGAGTGGGTGTTTGTTCTCAATCGGTATTTTGTTGTGGGGAAACTTTTCTTTCAATAAATGTAAGAAAGTTGCTTCATAATTTTTTGACTGTTCATCATTTCTGAGTATTCAAATATTGTAGAATATTTTTTTTATTTTTATTTTTGCTTGATCAATATTTATTGTCACTTGTGGGATAAATCCGGCATCGGTAA